CTTCCTTCATCTCTTTAAGGGAGTTTTTTATTTCCTTTTTGAGGGCCTCTATCATCTTCATAAATGATATAAAAAATTTTTTAAATGTTATTTTTAAGGTCATTTTCTTGTGCTTCAGCTGCATTGGAATGTTCAGATCTTGTTGTCATAGGATCACTAGGTTCTGTGGTGCCGTATTTACCATTGTGTTATTGATTGCGTTCTTACACTGGTGTTTAGGCATCTGGATTTGGGATGGTTATTGGTCTAAGTATTGATTGCTGTATTTGTCTTTTTTTTGGATGGGTGTTTTGTTCCTTTATTTTATGTTTCCTCTCTGGTCTTCTGGCCTAAGTGGCCAAGGGTTCTAGTGACTGGCAGGTCTTCGGATCCAGTTGGGTGTCTCCATTGGGGTTTGGGAGCCTTGGGTCCCTAGATCCAGCCTGGCCTCTGATAAAGCTGAAGTCCTCATCTGAAATTGTAGACCACATTATGGATTCCAGGGGAGGAGGTGCTGGTCTTCTGTCTGGCGTGGACTGTACCTGGGCCTATGGGGTCTGCTGGAGTTGTGAAGAAGGGCTGGCCTCCAGGAGGATGATGAGGTGGGAAGAATACTGGGGGACCAGAATCCAGAGGATGGTGGCAGCCCAGCTGGTAGGTGGGTCAGTTACCTGCTCATCGACTGATGAGGACTGCACCAGAGATGAAACAAATACTCCTAAGGGACTTAAAGACTTTCAAGGAGCACCTAAGTCTGGATGGAGATGGAACAGATATTCAGGAGACATGGAAAGGGAATATGCTGCTTCAACTCACCATCTGAGTATGTCATTTGTGTCCTATGAACCAGCAAACCCCAGGGCCTGGTTCAGGGTTCTAGTGTTTGGATAAGGTACTTGATCTCTGATCATGGCCTTCCTAGCTGTACCATCCCTGCCAGCAAAATGGTGAGGTTGTAATTTTTCTTCTGGTTGGTGGCCTAATGACGACAATCTCTGGTGGAATCTCTGGCAAACTTAGGATTTTGGCCAAATATTTGCCAGGTCTTGCCAGTTACTCACAAGATAGAGATAATTTTTCAGTGAGGTCTGATATACATTGCCAGCAGCGCTTTCCATCTAAGTCAGGTAATTCAGTCCACACAAAGGGATAGACCAGAATGTCTCAATTACTCTACCTTTATCTCTTCCTCCTTCTTTCAGAGTTTTGAAACAGGCTCTCACTCTGTAGCCCAGGCTAGATTCAAACCTATAGCAATCCTCCTGCCTCAGTCTCCCTTGTACTGAGATTGCAAGCAGGTACTACCATGCCTGGCAATATTCTTCTTTATCTTAAATAATATGTTTCCATTCTTGAGTTTCAGACTTCAGATATATAGGTCCTGGGGTTCTAGGGACCAGTGACAACAGTGTCCACACTCTTCTAAGGTGACAGCATTAGAAGAGACCTGTTCATGCCTCCATCACACCATCTGGGAGCACACACTTTGCTGCTGGCACGCTGATGCTTCTCTAGCGAACTTTCTTGGTTTGTTTCCTGCTTTTGCTAAGCTAGCTCCTGATCACCTGATTTAGCTGTGAAGTCTGTCTCTACTGGTGTCAATTTGTCATTGGCTTTGTCTGTCTGCCTTACTGAAAAATTCTTCTGTGTTCATCTGCCAGGACTGACAGAAGAATATACTTAGACTGTGTGGCCAGAGCCACAAGACGTAAGCCCCTCTTAGTTCTTCAGGCTGGAAGTCCCAAATCAAGATGCAGTCAGAATTGGTGTGTGGTGAGGTATCTGTTCCTGTGTGGCAGACAGCTGCTTACTCACTGTGTCGTTCTTTCCAAGTTCTGGAGTGTGTGCATGTGTGAGTGTGTGTGCACGTGTGCGCGCGCTCCTGCATGTGTGTGTGTGTGTGTGTGTGTGTGTGTGTGCAGGAGCACGTGTATGTGGAGGCCTTCAGGTGTCTTTCTTCAGGTGCTGTCCACCTTGTTTTTTTGAGGCAGGGCCTCCGACTGACTTGAATTGGACAAGTAAGCTAGGCTAGGTATAACACAAATTGCTAAACAGTCTTTTAATAGAAAACTGGGAGCCAGATATTGGGGTAAAAGCTGAAATATCAGAGAAGCAGAACAAGCCACAGCCAACCTCACCTTGCCAACTCCTCAGCCGATCCTGTTTCCACAAATCCTCAGACTGAAATGTAGTGGGTAGCCATTCCAGCTTGGATCTGGAAGTTCCAACCCCCATTGAGACTCTGGCAACTGTCACACCTACGAGGTGGGGCCAGGGGAGGTGCCCGGAGGCCCGAGAGCTGGATGGGCCAGCGCTCTCTCTGTGCCGGGACGCTGAACATTAGAGGCTGACTGAGCAGAGCTCCAGAGAACACCACTGGACTGCAATACACCTTCCCCAGACCCTGCGACCTACCTATTACTTAATTTGTGAGTTACGCCATTAAATAAATATCCTTTTAACTATGTGGAGTGGCCAAAATAATTTCTCCAATACTGAAAGCCTCTGAGTCCTCACCCCTGAGGGTCTCAGCTGAACTGCTACCCAGTTCCTGTCTCCCTGCTTCTTATATACCGT